ATACGGTAAAATTGTTTAAGTACATTTTCGGGAAACTATTTTATATATAGATAACTCCCCCCCCCCCACTTAGAATTTTATACAAAATTTATCATAAACTGGAACTCAAACATACATGTGATTATCTTTTGTTTTGCGGTTTCTTTTTTCATGGAGAATCAGTCAGAATTATATGACTTCTCGTTGCATAAATAAAATCAATTGGTCGTTTCCTTTGTAATCTTCCTTCTCATTTGTCTTTTTTATTTCTTTGATTGATTTATTTTCCTCTCTTTCCTTCTCTAATTTCTCTACATACTCTTCTCTCTCTCACCTTCTATTTCTCCTCTTTCTCTCTCCTTCACTCTTTCTCCTTTTCTCTCTTCTCTCTCTTCTCTCTGTTCTCTCTCTCTCCTTTCTCTTCTGTCTGTCTTCGTTCTCTCTGTCTCTGTCTGTCTCTCTCTATCTGTCTGTTCTGTCTCTCTATGTCTGTCTGTCTCTCTATCTGTCTGTCTGTCTGCTCTCTATCTGTCTGTGTCTGTCTCTCTCTGTCTGTCTCTCTATCTGTCTGTCTGTCTCTCTATCGTCTGTCTGTCTGTCTGTCTTCGTCTGTCTGTCTCGGTCTGGTCTGTCTCTCTCATCTGTCTGTCTGTCTCTCATGTCTTGTCTGTCTCTCTGATCTGTCTGTCTGTCTGTCTCTTCTTCTGTCTGTCTGTCTCTCTATCTGTTCTGTCTGTCTCTCTATCTGTTCTGTCTGTCGTCTATCTGTCTGTCTCTCTCTCTCGGACCTTGTATTCTTTAGTAAGAAGCTTAATGAGATAATGACTCAAAAGCGGAAGAGAGATTGCATGTCTGGGCGGAATCGATTGACTCCACGAGCTCCATGAGTGATGTGCGGAGGGGAATCAACAAGATTAAAGGCAATGCATACAATGTAACTTCTCGTCCTCATCCAGGGAGGGTAGCTTTGTCACTCCTTAGCAAATGCTGCGAAAACTCCTCTCTTAATGATCTTCCATTATCCATACGTAGATGCTCCCTTATGTCAAAATATAAAAATGAAACCGACCATCAGTGCCAACTTTTAGATGAGGCTGATGCACCATTCACAAGCCATGAACTTCTTGCAGCCATTAAGACTAGCAAGTCCACTTCACCTGGGGATGGTGGAATCACTTATGACATCATCCGACTCCTTGCAAGGGTGCAGGTACAGGTACATGGAAGAAACTATCTTCTTGATCTCTTCAACTTAACCTAAACTACCAGCATCTTGCCTATTGTTTGGAAACAAGCTACCGTTATTCCCATCCCAAGACCAGGGTACCCTGATGAATTTAGACCAATTTCTCTGACTCTTTAAAACCTGTGAAAGGATTCTTCTCCGTCGTTTGCTCCACCAGATCAAAGATAAATTCAAGGGGAAAGGAACGCAAATGCGTTTGTCACAGTACCTCAACTGAAGTAATTCAGTCTTCTTACTTCATAGGTGTCTAGGAAGCATTCGACACAGGCTCCCCTACTGCAATCCTCCGTAAATTCACTCTCCTAGGAGTTAAGGGCAAGCTTCGGCTATGGATAAAGGATTATCTGTCTTTGAGAAGAGCAAAAGTATGGTACCAAGATACCTGTAGTACTTATGGTGACCTAGAGTTTTGGCACTCCAGTTTTGTCCCCTTCACTATTTAACATCCTTATGCCCTCTGTTTGCAAGCTTAATAGTGAGTTAGGAAACCTATGCAGCATCACATGCTGTGCTGATGGTATTCTCATTTAAGTCTTTGATAAGAGGTAAGTTCTTCAGAGATTCAGCAGAAAGTGCGCCTCCCTTGGACTCATATCAACCCCATCAAGACTAAGGACATTTCCTACATTTCCAGACCTCATAATCTACCATACATTCCAAGATTAGCTGGACAAGTTATTGCAAAAACTGACACCCATAAGTATCTTGGTGTTATGGTGATTGCTCCCCACCTCATGTCCCGCAATTCCCGCTTCACTCGGGAAATTGTTCAAACCATCAGAGAATGCTGCCTGGGGCGTTGAAGACCTTTACAATATATAAGCAAACATGTGTTATCAGCTGGCTTCGAGATTGAGGGCCAGGTATGGATCACCGAAAAACTAAAGAAAAGTGGACATGGTACCATCTGGCATTATAGAAGATTAGTAGGGACATATGCTGTTGACAAACCTTATAATGGACTGTCTCGGAGACAACAGATTACGTTAACCAGGCTACGCATAGGATATCAATACACTCTACATTATGTACAGGACGCAGTTTTGGAGGCAAAGCCAGTTACATATCACCAATGCAAAATGTGCAAGGCGCCCAAGTCGCATAATCTTACACATTACTTACTTTATTGCTCGAAAGCTGTATCCTATCAATCAAATAGCACTGTCCAGAGAGCAGCACATATTGATTACATTAATTTTATCATAGACACTGGTCTTGTTTTCGATATGATTAGGGATATAAAAGTTTTTTTTTTACCAACTATATGAGATGTGAATAATATAAGAATAATGACATAGCTCTTCAGGCATGTAGAACTAATGTTTGACTAATAGCCCTTAACATAAATATAAGCGTAGCCAGTTGGGTAGATGATGTAGCATCTTACCCTGGCTTTTTACAGGGCATGTACACTGTTCTGTAAATAAATCTCAAAATAAAAATCAATTCTTCTCTCTCTCTCTCTCTCTTCTCTCTTTCCTCTCTCTCTTCTTTTCTCTCCCTCCTCCCTCTCTCTCTCTCTTCTCTCTCTCTCTCTCTCTCTCTCTCTCTCTCTCTCTCTCTCTCTCTCTCTCTCTCTCTTTCTCTCTCTATTACGGTAAACAAAATGAAGTTATAAAACGAGGAGAGACGATAAATCTGAGAGAAAATTGGCATAAATAGCGAGGCCGCAGTCACGTGATCCGCCTGTCCATCAAGCGGGGCAAAAGCGCGGGAAAAAGAAAAAAAAAATGAATGTCGGGAAGCGCCGATCGTAAAGCTACACAATTCCTTTTATTACGACTAATGACAGACATTTTCCACCCCTCAATAAAAAAGGGGGTTAGGGAGGGAAATATTACAGAGGAGGGGAAAAGTCAAAGGCGTAGCGATATAAAAGGTGTGAACTCCAATTAGACGGGCGAGGGCGGAGTCGCAAATAGGCCTATTAAACCAAGGGGGGAAATTTACAGATGTTACACACGGTTTATTTAGGCCTCGGTGGTCAGGCGGGCAATTTGTCGGTGTTTTGAATTGCGTGGGCGGTGTAATGGGGAATTCGGGTTATTTTTCGGGTCTGGTTGAGTGTTTGGCGCGCGTCTGAAATTTGGCGGGAGTGTTCATGCGTGGGAGTCCGTTTCTGATGGGAAAGTTAATTTTGATTCCTCTTCTACTTAGTTCTGTTTGTTTTAATCTGTCTATCCTCCTGTCTCTCTCTTTTTCTCTCTCTTTTCTCTCTATCTCTCCTTTCTCTCTTTCATCTTCTCTTCTCTCTCTCATCTCTCTCTCTCTCTCTCTCTCTCTCTCCCTTTCTCTCTCTCTCTCTCTCTCTCTCTCTCTCTCTCTCTCTCTCTCTCTCTCTCTCTCTCTCTCTTCTCTCTTCTCTCTCTCTCTCTCTCGTCATCTCTCTCTCTCTCTCTCTATATATATATATATATAATATATATATATATATATATATATATATATATATATATATATATTATATATATATAGATATATCGTGCGTGTGTGAATTACTGGTGTGCTTGCGTGTGTGAATTAAAGAAATAATGAAAGCCAGTGTGCACATAACCTCGCGGTGAAATGTAGCCATAAACGTTAATGGCTTCGTGAGAAAATTAGACCAGTGAATGAGAGATATTCCAAACGGGTTTCAAGCCATGATACGAAACTCGTCAGTGATTGAAATTGAGAAGAGTGGAGGGATGAGAAGAGAGAGAGAGAGGCGAGAGAGAGAGAAGAGAGAGAGAGAGAGAGAGAGAGAGAGAGAGAGGAGAGAGGAGAGAGAGAGAGAGAGAGAGGAAGAGAGAGAGAGAGGAAGATCAGGCGGAGAGAGACAGACAGAGGAGAGAGGAGAAGGCAGAGGGAGGAGAAGAGAAGAGAGAAGGAAAAAGAGAGAGAGAGAGAGAGGAGAGGAGAGAGAGAGAGAGAGAGAGAGAGAGAGAGAGAGAGAGAGAAGAGAGAGAGAGAGAGAGAGAGAGAGAGAGAGAGAGGAGAGAGAGAGAGGAGAGAGAGAGAGAGAGAGAGAGAGAGAGAGAGAGAGAGAGAGAGGAAGTAGTAGAGGGCGAGAGGGCAGGCATACAGACAGACAGAGAGAGAGATACAGAGAGAGGCGAGAGAGAGAGAGAGAAGGAGAGAGAGAGAGAGAGAGAGAGAGAGAGAGAGAGAGAGAGAGAGAGGAGAGAGAGACGAGAGAGAGAGAGAGAGAGGAAGAGCGAAAAAGAGAGAGAGAGAGAGAGGGGGGAAGGAAAAGAGAAGAAGAAAAAACAAGTTAAAACATCAAAATACAGAAAACAAAAAAAACAAAAAAACAAAAAAGATCTCTATAAAAAAAAAAAGAAAAAAGAAATCGAACCAAACCAAACAACCAAATCAAAACAACAACGAAAATGAATACTCAAAAACCAAAACTCAAATACCCCAATCCAAATAATAAATGATAATAATATGATAATAATAATAATTAATAATAATAATATATAATAATAATAATAATGATAATATAATAATGAAATAATATGATAAATAATTTAATAATATAATGATAATAATGAATAATAATATAAAATGATAATAAATGATAATAATAATTAATAATAACGATAATAACAATAATTATAATTACAATAACAACAACAACAACAATAATTAATAATAATAATGATAATGATTAAATTATTATTATGATAATTATTATGATAATGACAAAACAACATTTAAAAAAGCATAAAAAAGCCGACAATAACGAACGAACCCTCACCTCATCACGCTTTCGCACACTTCGCTCCAGCTGCTAAAGTTCCTCCGCGAATAATTTATAAAACTTGCTATCGATGAGCTGTGGGCGCTTAGCGGCTGGGTCTGCGGGCGGCCGTGGGAGGGTAAGGTGAGGGTGGGGATGGGTGGGTGCGAGAGAACTGGGTATGGGCGGCGTGGGCGGGTAAGGTTGAGGCTGGGGATGGGCTGGGTGCGAAGAAGACGGTATGGGGGGCCGTGGGCGGGTAGGTGAGGGTGGGGGGATGGGGGGGGCGAAGAGACTTGGTAATGGGCGGCCGTGGGCGGGTAAGGTGAGGGTGGGGGATGGGTGGGTGCGAAGAGACTTGGGTAATGGGCGGGCGTGGGCGGTAGGTGAGGGTGGGGGAGTGCGGGAGACTGGGTATGGGGCGGGTGGGCGGAAAGGAGGGTGGGGACGAAGAGACTGGGATATGGGCGGCCGTGGCGGGTAAGGTGAGGGTGGGGATGGGTGGGTGCGAGAGACTGGGTATGGGCGGCCGTGGGCGGGTAAGGTGAGGGTGGGGATGGGTGGGTGCGAAAAGAAGACTGGTATGGGCGGCCGGGGCGGGTAAGGTGAGGGTGGGGGATGGGTGGGTGCGAAGAGACTTGGATATGGGCGGCCGTGGGCGGTAGGGTGAGGGTGGGGATGGGTGGGTGCGAGGAGACTGGGTATGGGCGGCCGTGGGCGGGTAAGGTGAGGGTGGGGATGGGTGGGTGCGAAGAGACTGGTATGGGCGGCCGTGGGCGGGTAAGGTGAGGGTGGGGATGGGTGGGTGCGAAGAGACTGGGTATGGGGCGGCGTGGGCGGGTAAGGTGAGGGTGGGGATGGGTGGGTGCGAAGAGACTGGGTATGGGCGGCCGTGGGCGGGTAAGGTGAGGGTGGGGATGGGTGGGTGCGAAGAGACTGGGTTGAGGCGGCCGTGGGCGGGTAAGGTGAGGGTGGGGATGGGTGGGTTGCGAAGATGGACATGGGTATGGGCGGCGCGTGGCGGGTAAGGTGAGGGTGGGGATGGGTGGGGTGCGAAGAAGAGACTCGGGTATGGGCGGCCCGTGGGCGGGTAAAGGTGAGGGTGGGGATGGGTGGGTGCGAAGAGCTGGGTATGGGCGGCCGTGGGCAGGGTAAGGTGAGGGTGGGGATGAGTGGGTGCGAAAGACTGGGTCCTTGGGCGGGTGGCGGTAAGGTGAGGGTGGGCGAAGTTGCCGAAGAGGGCTTGGGTATGGGGGGCCCGTGGGCGGGTAAGTGAGGGTGGGGATGCGGGGGGGGGCGGCCCGTGGGCGGGTAAGCGGAGGGTGGGAGTGGGGTGGGTGGGCGAAGAGGGTTATGGGCGGCGTGGGCGGGTAAGGGTGAGGGTGGGGATGGTGGGTGCGGAAAGACTGGGTATGGCGGCCGTGGGGCGGGTAAGGTGAGGGTTGGGGATGGGTGGGTGCGAAGAAGGACTGGTATGGCGGCCGTGGGCGGGTAGGTGAGGTGGGGGATGGGGGGTGCACTGGGTAATGGGGCGGCCCGTGGCAGGGTGTGCGGGTGAGATGAGGGCGGGGGTGGAAGGGAGATAAGGGCGTGGAGGGGATGGCCGGTGGTTGAGAGGCGGCGATCGGATGAGGCGCGGAAAAAATGATGGTGGGGGGAGAGGGATTTGCTTCGGGTGGCGGTCTGGGCGGTTGAGGTAGGGGAGCTTGGGGGGAAGGGGGAAGGGGGGGGAGAACTCAGGCGGGATTAGTTGATTAGGGTAGTTTGTAGGATTGGTTGATTAGGATAGACTAGGATTGGTTGTTAGGATAGACTAGGATTGGTTGATTTAGGATAGACTGAGATGGTGATTAGGATAGACTACGGATTGGTTGATTAGGAATAGATAGGATTGGGTTGATGGGATAGACTAGGATCGGTTTGATTAGGATAGACTGATTGGTTGATTGGATAGACTAGGATTGGTTGATTGGATTGGTTTGATTAGGATAGACTAGGAGTGGTTGATTAGGATAGACTAAGGATCCGGTTGATTAGACAGCTAGGATTGGTTGATTAGGACAGCTAGGATTGGTTGATTAGGATAGACTAGGATTGGTTGATTAGGATAGACTAGGATTGGTTGATTAGGATAGACTAGGATTGGTTGATTAGGATAGACTATTGGTTATTAGGACAGACTAGGATTGGTTGATTAGGATAGACTAGGATTGGTTGATTAGGATAGGACTAGGATTGGTTGATTAGGATAGACTAGGATCGGTTTGATTAGGGATAGACTAGGATGGGTTGATTTAGAGACTAGACTAGGATAGATGCGGGTTGATTAGGTTAGGATCGGTTTGATTAGGATAGACTAGGATCGGTTTGATTAGGGACAGTTGGATAGACTAGGATTGGTTTGATTAGGAAGACTAGGATTGGTTGTTAAGGATAGACTAGGATTGGTTGATTTTAGGATAGACTAGGTGGTTGATTAGGATAGACTAGGATTGGTCAATTAGGATAGACTAGGATCGGTTGATTAGGATAGACTAGGATTGGTTGATTAGGATAGACTAGGATGGTTGATTAGGATAGACTAGGATCGGTTTGATTAGGAATACTAGGATGGTTGATTAGGATAGACTAGGATGGTGATTAGGATAGACTAGGATTGGTTGATTAGGGATAGACTAGGAATTGGTTGATTAGGATAGACTAAGGATTGGTTGATTAGGATAGATAGGATTGGTTTGATTAGGACAGACTAGGATTGGTTGATTAGGATAGACTAGGATTGGTTGATTAGGATAGACTAGGATTGGTTGATTAGGATTGGTTGATTAGGATAGACTAGGATCGGTTGATTTAGGATTGGTTGATTAGGATAGACTAGGATGGTTGATTTAGGATAGACTAGGATTGGTTGATTAGGATAGACTAGGATGGTTGATTAGATAGACTAGGACTTGATTAGGATAGACTATTGGTTGATTAGGATAGGACTAGGATTGGTTTGATTAGGATAGACTAGGATTGGTTGATTAGGATAGACTAGGATTGGTTGATTAGGATAGACTAGGATCGGTTGATTAGGATGGATTGCAGCTTTGGTTGGCTGGGATGAATCGGGCGGATAGTTAACTGGGATGGATAGTGGATCGTCAGCAGCAAAGGATGTGGGACGGCAGGGTTGTCGGGGAGAATGGTAGGATTAGTGGCAGTAGTTAGTAGAAGTTAGTAGTTGTTAGTTCTTGTTAGTAATCAGTGGTTAATTGTAAGCTGTAGTTAGTAGATGTTAGTAGCACTTAATAGATCGTAGTAGTTAGTAAAAGTAGTTAGTAAGTAGTAGCTGTTAGTTGTAATCAGTAGTTAGTAGCAGCTAGTAGTAGAGGTAAGTAGTAGTAGTTAGTAGCAGCTGGTAATTAGTGACATTTATTAGGTAGTAGGTAATTTATTCGTAAAAAGGTAGCAATGTAGAGCAGTTGATTGAGTGCGAGAATCATCTGACCCTAAATACGATGAATATTTGACTGAAAACTCGATTGCTATTCAGGCTGGCCATTCGGGGCGGGAGGAATGGGCGGAAGGCGAGCTGACTGAATGGCATTTAACTGACTAATGAGAATTTAACTGGCTAACTCGAATTTAACTAATTGGAATTCAACTGGCTAATTGGAATTTAACAAACTGGAATTTAACTGGCTAGCTGGAATTTAACTAATTGGAATTCAACTGACTAACTGGAATTTAACAAGCTAATTGGACTTTAACTGGCTAACTGAAACTTAATTGGTTAACTGGAATTTAATTGGCTAACTGGAATTCAACTGACTAATTGGAATTAACAAACTGGCAATTTAACCAGTTAACTGTGGAATTGAGCTGGCTAACTGGAATCTTGAAATGAAGCAGAATTCCACCTGACTAACTGAAATTTAACTCACTAATTAGAATATAACTGCCTAAGTGGAGTGCAGGTAGATATGAGATGTATGGCGTTCCAAATTCTCTGAGAGAAGAATAGTGTTAAAGCGGGGTTAGGTGAGGGTCAATAGAGTTAAGCGTATGATTTAAGTAAACAGGAATTAGATGAAAATTGAATTAACAAGGATCATGAATATTGAAAGAGAACGCCCAGTGTAGGTCATATCCACTCTGAAACGATAAAAAATAGAATGGAAGAAGTAGAAAGAAATAAAAACAAGTCGCCAATTCCTCCTTAAATAAAATTCACTATGTGGCAATACGGAGTAAGTCAAAAGGCAACGTTTTCGTTAATGTGTTCATAATATACTTCTGAGAAGTAATTTTGAGCGAGATAATTCACCGGTTATCGCTTCGCTTCTCTGTTTCGCTTTAGGAACAGCAAATTAATGGCACTTCTCCGGCCAGTCACTGGGCTCATAGTCTTCATGGTCACGGTCGTCTCTTCCGGTTCCGATCCATCCCTGTCTTTTGTTCATCCTCTCCTGTGCTTTTGTTTATGATGGCAAGAATATTTCTCTGTCGAGTCAAGGCAAATTTACGATACGGGCAAGAAGCAAATTAAGTGTGTCTAGTACATAGTATCAATTCAAGTATTAGTATATATTATAGATTATAATTATAGTAGCTATATTATCTATAGTAATTTATATGATATATATATATAGTTTCTCGATTACTTATACATATATATAGATATCATACTCTATATTATACTAATATATATATGTGACTAATCTCCTATATAGCCTCTCGCCGACTGGTAACTACTTTTTTATATATTGATATACCATAGATATTGTTTATAGTTATGGTATACTATAATACTAACCGTCAGTGTACTTTCATAATATTAATGTTATATATACTCATGAGGTATAAATACTCCAAAATATTATAGGGTTTACGTATTATAGGAGTCCTCTTCAGCTCGGCGATATATAGCTATACTATAATAGGTCACTATCATATATATAGACGTATAGATCTCTCATATATATCTCTTCTTCTCTATAGTCGCCTATGATATTTACTATCCGTAATAGCTATCTAAGTATATTACATAGTGGTACATAATATATATTAGATAGAGCGTAGCTAGTATTTATATATATATATATATATATATATACTTACTATATATACTAGTTATATATAAATTGTCGGTGTGGGTGTTTCGTGTGTGTGTGGGTGTAATTTACATTATTTTAATGTATATATGGGTATATATATGTATACTATTATATTATATTATATATATATATATTACTATATATAGTATATATATATATATTATGTTATATAGGTATGTATAGTATATATATATAATATAGTAAATATCTATTACTATATATATATATATATCATGGAATATGCCAATCATGAGTCTATCTTGCTATATATGCATATATGTACAAAATGAATATGTAGTAACTGACATGTATTACTATATGTGGTATATACTTGTGTGAATATATGAGTACTCTTATCGTATAATATATGAATATATATATATATATATAATATATATTATATATATATATATCATAAATATAATATATATATATTACTATTATATATTATATATGCTGGTATAGTCTATTATCATATATATTATATATATATATATATATAATTATGATATATGATAATATTATACTACTAGATAATCTAATTAATATATATATAATAACATATATATAATAGTATCATAATATATATATTAGTAAGTCGCTAGTCATACTGAACTGTTATTATCCAGTATAGAGTGCTATCATACATGTAGTAGGTAGGTCTACTAGGGAACTGTCATAGGTAGCTATGCCGGCTATAGGGGTTTATAGTAAGGTATGGAGATAGATGTATACGGGTATAGCCCCTATTAGTAATCGGGTGTCAGCTACGGATGTGGGATATTATAGTCGAGTGTATGGTATGTGGGAGCCACTCGTTAGTGTGTCGTAATAACCAGTAGACGGTCTAGGCGTATATACTAGTTACGGTAACTGCATTATGAGAATATCTAGTGATTT